AAACCCTAAACCCTAAACCCTAAATCCTAAACCCTAAACCCTGTGGCCCCCCCCCCCCCGCCCCCCGGCCTGGAGGAGCTGCGAGGCATCGGGCACAAGATCTTCGCGCGGCGCAGGTGCCTAGATGAGAAGATGTTTAGGGTTTAGAGTTTAGGGTTTAGTCTCCAAGAACCACTACCTGAAGCCTAAAAGTATGTAAAATAATGGCCTTTATGGCTGTTATTGGGGCTTTAGGGCCATTATCTTACATACTGTTGGGGTCCAGGTAGTGAGAGAATATTGCTAACCCCCCCCTATAATAAGCATTCTGCACGGGTAACCATTGGCCCTACGGTAAATACTAGGAAATCCTGCCTTACCCAAACGTGGAAAACCCCCCCCCCTCCTAATATTGAATGCTCCTGCTCCATGTACTGTGGTAATATCCTGAGAACATATCATATCATGTCATACTATAGCGGAAGTGGATGAGTACTGCATGCGCAATGCGGAATGACCTTGGGTCTAGCGCGGAGGCAAGGACTTTGGGATAGAGGTTATCAGGGATAATCCAGACAAGTTCAGGTTTTGGGGATGATATGGAAACATAAGGGGCATATCGGGGAATTTAGAACAGTGAAGGTGTCAAGCATGTAAAAAAAGTGGACGCTGGGATGATACGGGGATTTGTGAAGCATGCGTAAGCGCACTCTCAGGATATCATCAATATTTTGTTCGGAGTTCCAATTGGGGCTATCGAAAACTATTGCTCTGTTGGTAGAGAAAGGGGTTAAATGGGGCTATGTTGCGGCTTTAGAGGACGTGTATCGCGCCATAAAAAGGGCCTTAGTAGCTGCCTTACCCTAAGGGTCCAAGGACCCAAATAATAGGATTTTAGGGCCCAAATACTATAATATTAATGGTATTTGGGCCCTAAAACCACATTATTTGGGTCCTTGGGCCTTACGGTTTGTGCAAGGATGATAGGAGCACCAAACGCACTGGCCCAACTCCCATGGCCTCTCGAAGTCACGAGCCCACACCCCTAAGGGTCCAAGGACCCAAATAGTAGGGTTTTGGTGCCAAAATACAATTGATATTATAGTATTTGGGCCCTCAAGCCCTATCATTGGGGTCCTTGGACCCTTAGGGCACGGCTCCTTCAGGGGTGTTCTAGGAAAAGCCGTAAATGATATTACTGGGGTCATTAGCTCGGGAATATCAACGTCAGGACTCTCTTTCCTGTGGAATCAACATCAGGACTGTTTACAGAATACCGGGAGGAAGTATCCCAGACTTACGTTGAATCCCAACCAATCAACGAACATGGTCTGCGTGTTGTCGGGGGCCTTCTCGGAATCTCAGACCTCTGTTATCTCTACTGCAGAGTGACGGGGATTTGAATTACCCAACCCCTATAAGGACCCTATAGCTATGATATGACTATTATACGGTCTCGCTTTTACGGGCTGGGGTAGCGAAACGTCCCTTAGTACAAAGGATCGTTGGAAGTTTTGGTTCTCTTGTATTGTAGTCGATGATCGGCGATTGTTGCTTCGCATTGCTGTCAATGACGAATGCCATCTTATCCTTGCCTAACTACTGTTGTCCATGTGGGCCTCCAGCATAAACCCTAAACCTTCAAACCGGAATTCCCAACCCCGTAAAACCTGAAAGATCCCAAGCCATTTTTTCTTCATTTACTTCATAACCCAGGCCCCAGCCTTTAGATCCTAAACCTATCACCCCAAGCCTAAACCCTAAGAATCCTAAACCCAGTCAGGTTGCCACGCTGCCCCGATCAAAGCATCCCCCCGGAAAGTGGGCTCGAGCACTCAAGCTTCAAGGATTCACGTGCAGTGGCAAACACTCATAATTGGGCTTATCACATGAACCTCTGTAGCGGATCATATAAGTCCCATGAACCTTCAAGTAGGGTTCAGGGTCTGAGGTCAGGAACAACAGTGACACATTTCATGGGACTACTTGGAGGGTCAGGGGAACTTAGTAAGTACGTGAATAATTAACCCCTATAACCCATATAGTAACCCTGGTTATCCCGAATATTAACCTACTTCCTAAGTCCCCCAGACCCTCCAAGTAGTGGGTCAATAGGAACCCACCCTTCAAAAGGATGATATGAGGACGTAGGATCTAGAGTCTAAACTCCGAGTATCCCCCTTCATATGCCCAATAATACTCCCCTGTATAATCCCCTATAGAACCAACCTTTCAGGAGTTTAGACTACAGTTCATATAAGGACATATAGGATTCCGGGCTTAGGGTCTTGGGGTACAAGCATGTCCGATCACAATGATTGCTTATACAGGGGTATGCAGGTGCATGTTAGGATAGTGGAATGGCACACGAAAACGAAAATGCAAGCGACAGGTAAACTGGGATGATATCGGGATTTTGCGTCCGGGGCAGGCATATTTACCATGCATTAGATAGGACACTTCCTGGCGATAACTTGGTTTTCCCTACTATTTCTACTTCTGGATGCCAAGAAGAGCTTACAGTGAAAGACTACATACAGGAAGGTGGAAATTTGATGATTTATGATACATCTCCCTCTTCCTAAGGTCTTAGGGCAAGAGTGGGAGGATACTGAAGTTCTAGCTTTCTGGCTATCTACTGCGGAGATCTTGCGGCTTTGATTTGGTGTTTGGAGTTTTCCACAAAAGAAGAGCAGTCGGGCATGGTCATGCGGTGTGTTACAAAACAGGGCAACGATTATTGTACGCCAGGATTGTCGGGATCCCAAGCCCTAAACCCTAAACTCACCTACGGATGATTCTGAGAAAGCCCATGCCTGCACTTGTCTGGTTGGCGGTAGTGAACACAAGGGATACTCTAGGTGGACCCCCCACGCAGCAATTGTGACTACAAGAGGTAATGGAATATTCGGGTCCTCCTATATTCCTATTATACAACTGTTACAGGTTGGGGGTCCACCTAAGGGATAGTGGTACTTGGATTACGTAGGGCCCCCATGCATTCCCCTAGTACCACTACATGGGGCCTAACCCAACCATACCCAACCTAGAAAAGGGTTTAGGGTTTAGGGTTGAAGCCCTCAAATCAAGAGACCACCAAATCTGTCTGATGCTAGCGGCCCCGATCAGCGGCTTCATAACATCACAAGTACACAAACCGAAATAGTCTTAGTGATCGTATTAGTGGCAGTAAGCTGAAACAAGTATGAATCACAAGGACCATCATATTAAGAATGACAGCCACCCATTAGTGGCCTCTGCAAGATGAGAGCGTCAAAAGGACAATGGGGCTGCACAAATGGAGGCTTGTCAAGTTACACTCCTTCGGTTGGCGCCCTAACTGAAATTTTAGGTGCCGTGCTGTTACATGGGAAAAAGCAAACAAGAACCATACGTTTGACAAACGTCAGCAAATCCTAAGCCCTAAGCTCAACCTGAACCTTAAATCCTAAACCATAAACCCTAGATCCTAAACCTTAAACACTAAACTCTTAACCCTAAACTTAAACCCTAAACCCTATATAACCCCATTATAGTAGTTTCCATTTTATTTTCCATTATCCCTATATAACCCCTATATACCCCTCAAATCTTGGTGACCCGGGCATGTCCGCTCTGTTGTCATAGAGCTGCAGGCCTTGGCACTCCAAGCGCGGCCAAGACTAAACGCGGCTTAGGGTTTAGTTGGGGTATATAGGGATTATATAGGGGTATATAGGGTTTATATAGGGGTATATAAGGTTTATATAGGGGTTATATTGGGATAATGGAAAATAAAATGGAAACTACTATAATGGGGATATATAGGGTCTAGGGTTTGGTGTAGGATCTAGGCTTTCTGGTTTAGGGTTTAGAGTCTATAGGGTTTAGGGTTTGAGGTTTAGGGTTTAGGCTTTAAGGTTTGGAGTTCAAGGTTTAGGGTTTCAGGTTTAAGGTTTAGAGTTGAGGGTTTAGGGTTTACTTGGAGGGTCAGGGGGACTTAACAAGTAGGTTAATAATGGGGATAACTAGGCTTACTACATGGGTTATAGGGGCTATTCACCTTTTTACGAAGTCCCCTTGACACTCCAAGTTGGGTAGGCTTTAGGGCCCTATGTAGGCCTCATAACCCCTTTAAAGGGACCCTATATAGCCATATGAGCTATAGTCTAAACTCCTAGCATCCCCCTTAATAAGCCCTATGGTAGTCCCCTATATAATCCCCTACATAACCCCCCTTTAAGGAGTTTAGACTATGGCCCATATAGCCCTTTAGGATTTAGGGTTGCATGGGTTGTCAAACTGGGGGGGGAGCTACGCTTCAAAGACCCCGGGATACACGGTTGTGCTCTCTCCCTTCCTCCCTTGGATTTTCGCCACAAAGCCCGCGTTGGTCCTCTATTGTTCCTTGTCCTCTTGTAAGCCCTTTGAATATTCTTATGGACCTTGCTCTGACTCTTCGAATCACTTCTCATTTCATAATTCCAAAGATCCAAACCCAATTACTCCCTGCCAGTGGAGGGAAAGAAGGAGGGGGAGCAGGGTTGACGGTTTGGGGCTCAGGACTGGAAAGGGAGCGCCCGCGAGGCGCAATGATAAACCATTTTCCATGATTGGAAAAGGATCACGCGGGTCTTTATCACGGAGTGTAGGATACCCCTTGAGAAGTTCATATTTTGGGACACTGGAATACTGAGTCTGGGAAACAGCAGGCGCAGCTTCTGCATCCAAGTCTTTTTTTCCACAAGGCCCTCTGCATGAACGCGGGTTTCGGATTTGTCACAAGCCTGCTGCTAAGAGACAGGCTTCGAGTGAGCCGTGTCGGAAAATGCGGCAGTGCTGTGGAAAATCAGGTTCCTTCTGACTCTTGGGCTGACATTTCTTCGTCTTCTGGCTGGATGAAAACACATGATATCAGCGACATGTCCTCCTCAGGCAATAACATGTCAGAAATCTTACTTGAGAAGGATTTGCTGTGGTGGCAGCCCAACCCTCACTTTCTGGCGCCCAAGACCCCAAATGAAACAGGAATATCAATGCTGCTAGCGAATTGCAGCCTCAGGTACTTCTGGTACACCTTCCCGAACGCTGTCAAGGACCTTCTCCACCCATTCATCCACGAAATATTCGCACAAGTAAGAGCCTGCGAGGCAAATCCTAAATTGGCACAGACTGTGCTGAGCAAAAACCAACCCACAACCAATCCAGATCAGGTGGCATGGAAATCTGCTGGGGGCCAAACAAATGCAAACAGATCAAGGGCCCTGACCCCTCAACATGCATGCCCACAAACGGGTTGTTTGGCAGCACAGAAATGGTCGCACATTCAATCTCCTATCACAGAATTAGTGTTCATTTTGGGGTCCCTGCAACAATTATCCTGGCCATCTGAACTTTGTGCGGATTAATACTCAAGGGAGGCCCCGGTTTGGTAGTTTGCATCACTCGGGGGAGCCAAAATCATAATACTCAACGCAGGAAATCCCCTCAGAGAAGCCCTATGCTCTAAAATCTTTACCCCTAAATAACCTGTTTTAGGGAAGCCAAATTTCTTATCCCAAACGATCCAAACACCCAACAATCATGTACTTCCCCTAAACTGTGCTAAAATTCAAAGTGCCCAATTCCCACATACCTAAATGTCGGGCCCATGGACCCTCAGCGACAGACCTAAACCCTATGCAACCACAGTTTCGATTTCATATTCCATGTGTTGGTCCGTATGACTGTAAATTTCATACATAATCCCTACCCTGGCAACTCTACCCACCCTAAACCTAAACCCTCGAAAACCCTGAACCCGAAATCCCATATTCCATTATAACCCCTATCTTCCTAGACCCTCCTCCTACCCCCTATTAGGGCCTAAGTACCTGCTATTAGGGACCATATATCCCCAATTAAGGGTACAAGGAAGGTCCTGGTTCTATAACCCCTAAACCCTGCACCAACCATCACCCTAAACCCTAAACCCAAGAAGCGGTTTGTGGGCCGCGTGGTTCCCGCCACGTTGATGCTGTGAAGGCAGCCCTCAAGGGTGACCTGACCATAATGTCTTAACGTGTCATTGGGGCTTAAAGGATTTGAGTTTTAGGGTTTCTTAGGGTCTTAGGGTACAGGTGTTGGGGCTCAGGGTTTAGAGTCTTGGGGTTTTAGGGTTAAGGGTTTCGGGTGTTAGGATTAAGGGTTTTGGAGCTTAGGGTTTTGGATTTTAAGGTTTAGGATTTACGGCTTCAGGGTTTAGATTTCAGGGTCTAGAGCTTAAAGCTTTCAAAACGCCCGGGCTACGGGTTTCAGGATCTGTGGGCTTGGTAAATAGAGGAGTGCTAGAAACAGGAGCTGTAATCTTGTAAGAGTGGCAGCGCTACCAGTAACTACTGGTGATTGCATGGTCCTTTTTCAAGGAAATGTCGTATCGCCTGGAGTGGCACTGGATGAGAATCCCGCCCAAAGCCTAAACCCTAAACCCTACTCATTTATTGTGAAACTGTTATGCTTGATTTCGGGGGAGGCCTGCAGGGAGAAAAAGCGATTCTGCCTTCACGACTCAAAGTTGATCCTCAAGCCTGCAAGCGGCCAAGTTAGGACCCTATAGCTATCACATGTATATATATATATACACATGACTATCATATCTGTATACATATATATATATAATTACATATATATATATACATATACATACATGCTTTATGATTATGGCAGGGGCTGAATTTCTGGGGGTTAGTCTTACCAAAGCCCTGTGACCGTGAACCCTAGACCCTCTAAATCTCACATCAACCCTACAATCCCCAATGTACCCCTGTATAACCTACATTCATCAGCGCTCCAGGTATCTCCAGCTCATTAAAACCCTAAACCCTAAAGTCTAAACTACACCCTAGAACCTAAATCCTTCTAAACCCTAAAGCCTAAACTCTAAATCCTAAATCCTAAGCCCGAAACTAGAAGCAAGTGACTTGCTCCGCTCCAGGCAGGTGGGCCCAGTCTACTGGTACCAGGCCGTCCCCAGTAGCATTCCCCACTCCACCTCAGGTGACAAGAGGCCTAGGGTATATATATATATGTAGGGTTTAGGGCAGAGAGTGTAGGGTTTAGGGTGTAGTACGGTTTATGGCGCAAGTGATAGGGTTTGGGGTAGGAATGTGTGATGTATATGGGTTCATCTACCAGGGCTCATACAGGGTTTATCCCAGCTTAATCTGGGCTGTATACGGAGGCCGCGAATCAATGGCAAATACACTTCTACGAATACAGATACCGGAAACTTAAGAAGGATAACTGCAATGAGGCTTGCCCATGATACTTTTTATTGTAATGGTGATAAACATGAAGGAAACTGGTGATTTGTGGGGATATGCAGCCATATGTGGGGGTAATCACCCCGAATGGGAACCCCAAATAGGAATATACTAGGAACATAATGCCCTGGTAGGTATATTCCTATAACATGCCTACTATATTCTTGTCTTTTTTGCTTTGGGGTTCCGACTAGAATCCCTTCAATTGGGTTCCGCGCTTTTTCTGGCATATGACCTTAAACATTGAGGAGATTTTGGCAACCCCACCCTCTACACCGCGGAGACTACTATGATAATCATACGACAGTCATGGGGTCCTCATTTGGGGGTTGGGATAACAATAATCCTCTAATTACCTAAACTCTTAATGCTGCATGTCCCTACATAATCCCTAGGTAATCTTTGCACCGAACACCCTCTCTAAACCCTAAACCCTAAACCCTAACCCTGCTGTTCTGCTTCACTGCCTAAGGCCACATAGCTGTTCCAGGCTGTGGACTCCGGGGAAGGCGACCTGACAAGCACATGATATGGTTTAGGGTTTAGGGTTTAGGGGTTTAGGGTATATGGGGGTTTCCCAAATTTATGGGTACCATTTTGGGGGTCCCTATATTAAGGACTATAGTATTTTGGGGTCTATATTGGGTTCCCCTTATTTAGGGAAACTACCATATGGTTTAGAGTTTAGGGCTTAGGGTCCCTACACATCTCACTAATGGAGAATGAAGCGGACAAGAGAATGGAACATGATGTGGAAGCTACAACTTGTAGGGGTATGGTATCCTAATAGGGGAGAATCAAACGTAAAAGAACATGGAACATGGAATGTCAACGACTATAGGGCTTAATGAGGGTCATTAGATTGACAATATGACCCGCGGACTGATAGGTCCCCTATACCCGCGTATATATCCCAGAATAGGTCGCCCCAACCTAGCTTTAAGTCCTCAGCTCATATGAGCTATAGTCTACGCTCCTTGTGTGCCCCCTGAATGACCCTTATAATATTCTAATACTCCCCTATACCACCCCCCATATAACCCTACACCCTATATGATCCCATATATAGCCCCACCACTTAAGGAGTTTAGTCCTCAGCTCATATGTGCTATAGCCTTAACTCCTAATACACCCCTTGATAACCCTTCAGCAGTCCCCTACATAACCTCCTATGTAAACCCCCTTTCAGGAGTGTAGTCCTCAGCTCATATGGGGTATTGGCTCCAAACACAGCTCTTCACTACTGGGCTGGTGGTTATAGGAAATGAAGCCCTGGATGGAGAAGATCTTGCACCACCCTATATACCCTGCGGTGGATACTAAAAATCCTGCATGACCGTCAGTACCTTATACCTTGGGAATTATGGTATTATAGTATAGGAGGGTCATGCAGGATTTTTAGAATCAATCGTATGCGGGTTTAGGGTGTAAAACGTCAGTATGTTGGGGGCCTTAATTAAGTGGTGCAAGATTTCCTCCAGTCATTGAAGAATGGACTATAGGGATTATTTTGGGTGTTTTATAGGCTGCCATTTTCTTGCCACTTCCTATATTTCTGCGGATATGCCTGAACATACGTGCGGTAACAGTGTGGGCCCAGGTTTTCATGCCCCCCAAACCCTAAACCCTAAACCCTCCAGCGTGTACAGTAGATGAAGCCCTAAGCACGAAAGCCCAGAGTAGATTGGAAGTTTCCCTAAATTTTGTATAGGGCCCCGTATTATAATAGGAACCCAAATANNGTAATTTAGGACAATCCCCAGATGGAACCCTAAACCCTAAACCCTGAACCCTACACCCTAAACCCTAAGCCCCAACCCCTAAACCCTAAATCTCTAAATCCCTAAACCCCATTGTAGAGCGGCTGGATGAGCTCCACGATGGGGATGTTGCCCTCCATCTTCTGGCCCGTAACTGCATCCCCGGCCACGGATACCTAGTGGTTGAGGGTCTAAGGTTTAGGGTTTGTACGAAAATTTTGGGTCTGGGGTTTAGGGCTTGTACCTAAAAATCTGGATAACCTTAGTATATCAGATTACCATAACTCAAGGTGAATGTACAAGCTGCCAGGGTCTTGCAGGATTCTTGCTATCAACCCGTTGGTACAAGAAAACCTGTGCGACTCTGAGTAGTGCGGAGCCTAGTACTTCAGCGAGTTGTAATCTGTAGTCAACTATAAACTAATAAAGGGAGAGTGGTGGTAGCGTTCGAAATATCATGCTACTAGACTTCGGAAATCTAGACAAAGGATTCTGGTAACCCCATCCCCTATACTAAAGACCGTAAAAGAATCATATTCAAAGGGAGGGTGGGGCTTACCAAAAACCTCTTTCTACTAAGTCAGTGGCCTTAAGCCCTGCGCCCTGAAGCGACTAATCCATTCTGACACCTCCCCTAGCCCCCATTTCTAAATATTCGCCCTCAAAAGACCTTGTCAAGTTTAAAACAGGGGCGGGGAGTGTTGAAGGTCACAAGGAAAGGACTAAGCAGATTAAACCCGCAATCCCGGACCTAAAATCCTGAGAATTTAGGGTTTAGGGCCCCTAACGGTTTCAGGGTTTAGGGTCCTAAGGGTTTAGGGTTTAGGGTTTAGGGTCCCAAGGGCTTAGGTTTTAGGGTCCTAAGGGTTTAGGGTTTAGGGTGCCAAGGATTTAGGGTCTAAAGTTACTAAGCAGGTTAAACTGCCAAGCCGCGTAGAAGAGATGATCAGCGAAGTAGGCTCCCGGATGAGCCTTGTTGAGATTGCGCAAGCAGCCAAACCTCAGAGTGTAAAGGGCTTAGCGTTTAGGATCTAGGATTTAAGGTTTAGGATTTAAGGTTTAGGGTTTAAGGTTTAGGATTTAAGGTCTACGGTTAAAGGCTTAGGAGTTCAGGTTTAGGTTTGAGAGTATAGGGTTCAGCAGAGTATAATGGGCGCTCATGGGTTTAGGGTTATACGAAGCAGAGGTTCAGGTCAGGAGTGTTGACGGGGTTTGGCGCAGATTTCTCGCATTGCTTTTGCCCCATACAAATTGCATATGCCTGGGTTTGAGGGTTTAGGGCTTAAGGTTTAGAGTATGGCTTAGGGTTTGGGGCTTGAATATCAGGATTCCCCCTAAAATGGAGGAATAGTTGAAGAATGTTTCATCTACCACCGCCCTTTCCTACAGCGCCAAAATCTTCCTGAGTGAAATATTGGGATTTCCAGCGAGGAAACCCAGGGGGTGGTAATTTTCTGGTAGGGGGTGATAGGGGAATCCATGAAATGAGTAAGTGGGTATTGACCAATGAAGTAGGACCACATAATGGATACTATAACCAATCTCGACCCATGAGAAAATCCTACACTCTGAATCCCGGACCCCAAACCCTGCACACTAGACCCCTACACCCCAAAACTCAGGCCTTGGGGCCTCACAGTTTCAGTTTCCTAGCTAGTGAATGGGCCCAGACAAGTAGATCTTTTGATTCTACCGGGTGTAAGGTTTAGGGCTCAGAATGTACCTGGAAAAGGTCAAAAGTTTCCCGCTCAGCTACTACGGCTTGCAATGCCACCATGGCCTGAATTACGATGATTGTTGTCCTGGTCCTGGGTTTCTTGTACCGAGTCTCCATGGGATAATTAACTCAAATAAACCTGGTAGCTATTTTTTCCGGCCCTGACAGCAGGTGAGTAATGTTTTTGTTGGTGGTTGAACCTATATAGAATACTATACCCCAAAAGGAGGATAGAATCTTACTCTACAATGGGTACCATAGTATCCCCAAATAAAATACTACTCAGGTATGGAGATATATAGGGGTAGCGTAATTTAGCGGCGTGTGCTCTGAAAGAACCCGGATTCCTGGGTCCCTTGCGTATTTGAATTGGAATTTCTGGTGGTTGAACCCAGTAAGATTGCGTAACGTAAAGTACGAGACCCCAAATGAGGATACACTCTTACTCTATATTAGGGTCTATCCCTAACCCTAAACCCTAAACCCCCAAACAAAATACTTCCCATTTGACCCAGAAGCGTCATGTCCATCTTCCCCTTTGGGGGTGGCTTATGCGGCGTGCCCAGGGACACCAGGCCTTGAACATGCTGAATCGCCCATTCCTTTTCTTAAAAAATGGTTTGGTGTTGATAGTCTAGGAGTTTAGCGGTTTAGGTGTTTAGGGTTAGGGTTTAGGGGTTTAGGGGTTTAAGGTCTAGTGTTCAAGGGTTGAATGCTGCAAACGCATATCCACCAAACAAGATCGGCAACTTGGATTGAACTTCTCTGGGTGGCCTCTTAGCATCCCCAAGATATCCACAGCTGCCGAGCTTCTTTGCCCTCCCGCTGTAGCAAAGCGCGTGCCAGCCAGCCACCAGCACTGTGGCCAATCAGGATGACAGGCTGCCCAGCAGCCTGCACCGTTTCCTCGACCTTGTCCTGGCATTTTTCTTAGAATAATGGGTACCTAGGTACCTATTGAGATAGTTAGGGGTTAGATAAGGACTACATAGTCATACTTTCTTCACAACTTGCAAATGATCCAATGTGGGACGATCTCTTAAACAAACCGCCCTTCTGAAGGTGAGGCCACTGTAGTTTGCCCAGTTGTCCTTTGCAAGATCCAAATACCATCCATATGCAGTCTCGGCTGTGCCATTTCCTGCTGGCCGCTTTTTTTGTTGCTTGTCGCAGGTGCTCGTCGTTTAGGGCTTAGGGCAGAAATTTGGGCTTAGGAGTATATGTATAAATGTATTTACATATACACACATATATATATAAATATGCAAATGTGGGCTTTGTAGGGTAGCAGGAATCGAACGGAAAGAGAACTTGAACATGACATGGAACCTGGAAAGTGAAACAAGGATTCAGAAGTTTTCAGGCTGAGTAGGCATATTACGGAACACTGGTGTAATTTGTAACGTGCATTTTAGAGACTGTAGGATCTTACCTGAGTAGAACTTAGGCGTTCCCTACCTAAACCTTGACCCAAATGGTCCATGTAGCTACATACTATAGTCTAAACTTAGGTCCCAAAGCTTTCTATATAACTACTTTTTGGCCCAAGTATATGCTATGTGGCTACATGGACCCTCTGGGCAAGTGGCACTTCCGCCCGCGTCCTGCCCGACTATCGGGATCTAGCAGCAAGCCGGCAAAGACCTTGGAGTTGTTCTCAAAACTCAAACCCTAAACCCTAAACACTAAATCGTTGAACCCTAAACCCTAAATCCTTATAAACCCTGAACCCCACGCCTTACCCGAGTTTAGAGCCTGAGGAATGACAAGGAAATGTCTGCGACGGAGTACGCAGGTACCCATGAGAGCTTGTGTAAGGACCGTTTCAAGGAACTTCCAGCAGTGGGGTACACCCCCCGTAGTATGAATTGTCATACTTTCGGAGTCCAAGGTAGTGCAAAGATTTCTCAGTCAACCTTTGCGGGGACTCTAGAGAACGCCCCGCAGTCAACCCTACACCCTCAACCCTACACACTTCGCAGCCTACCCGGACCCTCAATGCATCGCCCTCCACCTTAAAACCTGAAAAATTAGGGTTTAGCTTTTTAGGGTTTACCCTGAACTCTTTACCCTCAACCCTATAAACCCTAAACCCTAAACCCTAAATGACCGTCCGTCCGGCCTTGAGCCAGTCCGATCGCTGGACCGGAACAGTGGATGCCTCCAGGGTATATATAAGCCATAGTCTAAACTCCTAGTATCCCTTAAATAAGCCCTATAGTAGTTCCCTATATAATCCCCTATATAACCCCCTTTAAGGAGTTTAGGTTCATATGGCCCCAATAAAGACTTCATATGGACCAAGGTAATACCCCAGGGTTCTTTCTCGGGATCCATAATCTCAGGGTACAGACCTGCCTAAATCCTAAATCCTAAACCTGATTAAACCCTACGTAAACCCTAATAAATCCTAAACCTTAAACCCTAAACCCAAAATCCCAAAACCCTAGACCCTTAACCTTACACCCTGAACCTTCAACCCTAAACCCTAAACCCCCAAACCTTAAACCCTAACCTAAACCTTAAACCCCAAACCCTAAAAGTGTCACAAACATCAAACCCTTGGCTGCCTGGACTCCGCGCCGAGAGAGGCATGCCTGGTGCCCAGTAGAACGTTAAAGGTTTAGGGTCAAAGGCTGCGGGTTTGGGGTTTAGGACTTAGGGTTTAAGGTTTCTGGTTAAGGGTTTAGGGCCTGTACATACATATAAATATATATATGTATATTCATACAAATAATATGTACATATGGTTTATGTAGGTGTCCTATAATTGGGGTCCATACTTCATCGTCCAAACCAATACGGACGGCGGGCGTAGGGGCCTCAGGCTGAAAAAGGGTTTAGCGGCTTACTTCTTGGTGGTTACTAGGGACCTTACTAGGGAATAAGGGAACATAATCCCTACACAACATATTCCTTCATTCAATACCAGCCCGCAGTAAGTTTAGGGCTTGGGGTTCAGGATGCAGGGTTTCGGAGTTTAGGGTTCACGGTATTTCTCAATTTTCAGTATCATCAAGACTGAAGACGGCGCCCAGAGTCTCCTTGCAGTACCTACCCTAAACCTTAAACCCTAAAAATCTAAGCCCTCAACCCTTAAATCCTGAACACCTCTGAAACCAAAAAACACTTTCTTCAGAGGTCCCTCAGGTCGACAAGGCATCTGGACAGAGCCTCGCCAAACTGAACTTATTGGTTCTTACTTGGAGGGTCAGTGGGGGCTTAGTAAGTAGATCCACCCCCCCTTGGGGGGAACTATGGTTTCTATCTGGGTTATAAGGATTGATAACCTACTGACTAAGTCCCCCCCCAACCCTCCAAGAAGGCTGTAGGATACAGGGTAAGGCCTGCAGGCCCACGTCTGTGTCCTGACCCAGCGGCTCCTCGGAATGACAGAGCACAGTGTTGTTCAACATGGGTTTAGGGTCTAGGGTTTAAGACTTTAGGGTCTAGGGCTTAGGACTTTAGAGTCTAGGGTTTAGGGCTTTAGGGTCTAGGGTTTAAGGGTTTAGGGTTTTAGTGACCTTCGATCTTCCTATACGCTAGAATACCCTTGATGCTTGAGTATATAATGGACACTCCCAAATAGGAATCCCTGTAACAAGTTCTCATAGCTGGGGCTTGGGGCCCCAGGGTATGCCAAGTTGGACGAATGCTGCACTCACCAAGATCAGCATGCGCGTAAACAAACTAAACAATTGCTTGCCGCGACAACTTCTAAACCTAAACTCTAAGTCCCTGAACCCTAATTGCTGAATCCTAATTTATTTAGGGTCAAGAGCTGTACACTAGTCACTAGTCACTAGTAGAGACTTCAAAATGCGACTGGTGCGAAAGACCTGCGCGACCGTGACCTGACGACAAGCCGACGAGGACACGACGACGATGCGACCACAACTCGACGACGACGCGACGACGACACGACGACGACGCGACGACGACGCGGCAAGGACCCGACGACGACGCGACGACGTAACGGCAGTGCCACTGCGCCCTCGCTACGTCGTCATCGCGCCAGCGTCGTCGCGCCAGCGTCGTCGCACCGAAATGTACGGTTTGGCCGAAACTAGGCCTTATTTTCGAAATGAGGCCTAGTTTCGGCCAAAGCTAGGGCTTGTTTCAGTGTGACGACGGTGTGGCGACGGCGCGACGACGGCGCAACGATGACTCGACGACGATGCGACGACGGCGCAACGACGATGCGACGACACTGCGACGACAGCATGACGACGTCGACGCGTTGTCGCCTCATCGTCGTCGGGCAATCGCCGCCTCGTCGTCGGGTCGTCGTCGCCTCTTCGTCGTGTCGTCGTTGCCTGGTCACATCGCGTCGTCGCATTGTCGTCACATGCTCGTCGCGTCGTCCTCGCATCGTCACTTTGTCCCGTCACACCCCCCGTTTTATCCACTAGAGTACCTTCGTGCACAGCTTCTGACTCTTGAAAGCTTAAAATCTTTAACCCTCAACACCAAAAAGGAACAAGGCTCAGCGTAGTCAATGGCATCATTGCCAAAGCCTGGCAGCAGAACTGCCGGCACGGATGCCGGCGCCACGCGGCTGGGTTTTGGCGGGGGAGCCTGAGATCATCTGACTGATCTTTTAGGGTTTGTAGGGTTTACGGGTTGAGGGTCAGGGGTTAAGGGGTACAGGACGCAACGGGCTCATCGAGGCCTTCAAACTCACTTTGCTATCTTGATCCTGAACCGCAGACGCCAAAAAACCTTATACAAAAAACTCCCCATCCCCTATAGCCCTCAAGTCTCAACAGCTGCACACCCCAACGTCTGAACCGTTGCTAAAATTTGGGGGGGCGGGGGGTATCTGCATAGGCATACCCTCAAGCATCGCCGGGTTTCCTCGGGATGAAAAGGGAAGTACGAGGTTTCACTAAGGATTACCTGGACGGTTGTCAAAAATGTGCTCTCTGCGCATATACATTAAGGACCGCATTGCAATGGGAGCCCTGCAAAGGCACCAACCTTTCGACAACCCCCATCATCAATTCTGCACTTATCCCCCGGACCATTTCTACATTAGGGGTACTATTGATCATATCCCTTAGCTTATTGGACCTTAGCAATTTCACATCCCTTGTTGGGCTTGAATACTCTGATATCCCCAAGAGGCCGTTAACTAAAATGACTTGCTGACCATATGTGTACATACAACTGTATATGTACACATGCTTTACTAACAAATATTTAGATAAATTGGCCCTAAACCCTAAACCCTCAGTTCTGAGCCAGAGGTGCTCCAAGCAGTTGGTCAGGCCAGTGATCTACTTCGTCACTCTGCGTGGGCTTCAGAAGCTGTGCCAGGGCTTCACCAGCAGGAATGTCCCACTTCTCCTAGGACGAAGGGTCCTTTTAAAGAATTTGGGGAGAATGCCCCTGTTCTCCCAGGCTTCCCACTTGAAGGATCCCAGGGACTTAGGATCCCTTCAAAGGGTGTATAAATATATATATATATAGGGATACATGGCAATGGAAAAGAAGATGGAAGCTACAATTATGTCACTTAAGCTTTAGGGTCAGGGGACTTAATAGGTATACTCTTTTTACGTCCCCTCAGCCACATCGTAGCTGCAGCTATGTCCCTTGAAATGACAAAGCAAAACAAAGGCTGAAAGCCTAAACCCTGTACCACTTGCTGTTAAGGAACTTAAACGAAGTTACTATACTGAGGAAACCCTACTAGTTACAATATACCCATAGTATGGTGGCTTAACTTAAGTTCCTTGAACCCCTAACTCCCCCAGTTTCCATTTCATTTTCCATTTTATTTTGCATTAGGGGTTGCATAATATGGTTACTGAATTTAAGTTCCTTAACTGCAACCCAAAACCAAAGCATTCTGGAGCAACCCCCAGGCTCGAAGTAAGACTCTATTCGGCCATCTGCTCCTGGCGTGTAACGCGTCTTGCCTCCAACATTGATGCGCGGTGACCAGGGCAAACTTACCTGCGCGAGTTCTCAAATTAGGGTTTAGATAGGGATATATAGAGATACATAGGGTTCGGGGCTTAGGGCCTCTTGAGGACCCTAGGGATATATAGAGGCTGGGGATTACAAGGGCCCCCACTAAACCCTAAATCCTAAACCCCTAAACCCCTAAACCTCTAAAAGCCTAAACCCCTAAACCCTAAACCCCTACACCCTAAGCCCCTAAACCCTAAAACCTTAATGGGATTAATGGGATTCTTGTTGTTGAACTCCCACCTTGCCCACCATGGCCCATTTGGCCACCACCTCGCCGTTGTCCTGGCTTGCTGTTAAGGAACTTAAATTAAGTTCGCCTCTCCAGGACCCCGTCCAGCTCTGGCGACCCCCCCCCCCCTCCCGTGGTGGGCGGCCTAGTCCAGCCCCACAATGCGCATGAAATTCCTGCACTTTATGAAGGCTTGCAAAAAATGGTGGTGAGGATATTTATCCACAACCCCTCCCACTCTCCCTCCTCCCGCCGCCCCTCCGCCCTTTAACCCCCCTCCCCCCACCTACAACCCAAACGAATTTTTCCTTGCTTGGGCAGAAGCTGCCAGCCTTTCCGTTGTGGCGCCGCTGGGCATGCGCCTTAGACGGTCTTTTTTTCCACATCTGCGAAGCATGAGCGCTCTATCGTCTAATTGTGTCCTGTACATAGGCGTGGTGCACGACATGCTGTGACACTGGCTAAGGGTAAGGATCGGATACCTGATTTGCGAATCCAGAAACCGAAGCATGCTTTGAGCCCTACCTACATATTGCACCTCGAGCTTTCAACCCTGAATTCTTGATCCATGTGTTTTCTTTCCGTGCCTCTTTTGACTGCAGCACACCGACTTGAATTAGTCAGCCTCGGTCCGACTCCCCTGCTGCAAACATTCAGGTGCCAGGTCTAAGTTGATGCTTTTTGATGCTTGTAGCCACCTCCCCCCCTTCCGCCCTCCTGATACCCGGCCTCTGCCTCCTTGGCACGATGTCGTTCCCCATTTAGGATCTATGCATAGACTTCCAGTGCTGCTTTCTGTGCACACAGTAGGTGTATAGGGTCTAGGGTTTAGGGCTTAAGGAACTTGAATTAAGTTACTATATTGGGGTATAATATAGAATTTAGGTTACTATTCCATCCCCGTGCATTGGAGAATCAAATGGAAAAGAACATGGAACATGAAATGGAAACTGGTGGGATTTTAGGGATTTAAGGAGCAGGAGCTTAAATTAAGTTACCATAATGATAATGGGTATATAGGGTTTAGGGTTTAGGGCTAAGTTACCATAACAAGTATATATAGTGACTAATATGGTTTCCCCAATATAGTAATTTAAGATAAACTCCTTAACAGCAACCCAGTCCTGGAGCTGGATATCTCGCAGCACGCACCTCCGCATTTCCTCTGGGATAAGAGCGTCCACAACCGGCTTGAGGTTGCGCATGTTGGACTCGAACTTGGACAAGCCCTGAAAAGAAATCGTTGGGTCCGTGAACCGACAGGCCTCGCTGTATAGTTCTGTGTCAATATTCCCCGACCACAGGTACTGCCGCTCCTCAAAGTCTGCGCGAATGCCTTCGAGCAGCTGCTCAGGCGAGATGGCGTCAAACTCCCGCGTCCTGTTTTCTGCCACGTCATTGCCCCCAAAGCTGTTCACCAAATCCGTCAAGCCTCGTGCCGAATGGTACAACTAGAGGGGCGGGCGGCTCATGATACACCAGTCTTATACTACGCATGCCCACAGTTCTTCTCTAACAGCAGCCATGAGTGTCCTTCCCGGATGTGGACTACATGCCCACAGCATCTCCCTCGTTTTCTTGGAAAGAGCTGGAAGTGGAACCCAAAACCAATTTTAGGGTTTAGGGTTTAGGGACGTACCCCCCACACACACACGCACACCTAGATATATATATATATATGGTAGCCCCCCCCCCAAGATCTACGCCTAACCTGTTTTATCTTCATGAATGCTTCATGTGCCATCTTCGTGAACATATTGTATCAGCCGAAAACACTGTAAATAGCGATGAATCCTATACTTTTGAATGAAATTAGTCATAT